TACTCCCTCCATTCCTAAATATTTGTTCTTTTAGAGATTTGAAATGGACTACCATACGGATGTATGTAGACATATTTTAGAGTGTAGATTCACTCAGTTTGCTCCGAATGTAGTCAGTTGTTAAAATCTCTAGAAAGACAAATATTTAGGAAGGGAGGGAGTACTATACTATAAAAACTACAAATAAAACATGCACCAAATTCATGAAGTTTGAGCAATACATACCTTGTAGGCGTTTTGTCGAACACCTTGCGGGCGTGGGGCGGCAGCGAGCGCTCGGGCGCTGTTCCTGACGGACCCGCGCGAGGGCCGGCGGGACTAGAAGGGGGGGCGGAAGCGCGGCGGCGCGGGGATAGGCCGGGGAAGCGCCGGAACGGTCGCTGGGGGGCGCGGGCGGCGGCGGCAGCGGCGCGGCTGGATGGGGGGTGGAAGTTGGAGAGCGAGTGCGCGAGAGTCCAGCGCGCGGGAGCGGGCGCAGCAAATAAGCGGCGCGCGATTGTGTTTCGGCCAGCGCGCTGAACTACATATGTCGCGCGCGCTGTTTTTGCGTGCCCGCTGGAGCAACTATACCGGTTGCGCGCGCGCTAAAACGCCCACTTTTGCGGCGCGGCGCTAGTTTGGCGCGGCTGTTGGAGATGCTCTGAAGACGTAGAGGAGAGATGCCGTGCTGATTGTGATTCTTGATTCAATTTGAGTAATACTTCTGGGAGGCGATACCTGCCGTCCCCACGACGAGCAGCGGCAGCGCCACGACGGCCGGTGAAACGCGCATGGCCGGCGCGAATTCTGGGAGGGGAAGAACTCTGACACATATTGCAGAAAGAGAAGCGTGAAGCATCCTTCCTTGAAATTTGAACACAAGTGAACATTCATTTCCGTTGAACCTACTATATATCTAAGGGGGAGCATGGATAAGAAAAGACAGAAATTTAGAAAATGTATGCAAATTCACATATATTAGGGATATCCAGTCCTCCCCTCCCCTCCCCCTCGCATCGCCTCCCCTCGGGCGGCGCCAGGGGCCCCCGATCCCGCGCCGCCAGCCCCTCCCCACTCCTCCATCCCCAGCCGCCGCTGCCTCCGGCAAGGGCCGCGGTGGCGGCGGCCCTGCACCGCAGATCCAGGGCGGGTGGTCGTGGCGGCAGATCCCGTGAGGCGGAGGCAGCGTCTCACGCGGGGACGCCGGGGGCGGCAGTTAGGGCGGCGCCCCTGCTGCACGGCGGCGATGGGAACCTACATGACCGACGGTATGGCGGCCGCGGGCGCATGGGTGGCTCCGATGGTTGCGGATCTGGCATCCTGTCCAAATCCGTCTCGGTACGGCCTTGGCCGGCCGGTGGCGCGAGGTGGACCGGTGAGGGGCAGCTGGAGGCTCCCTGCCGGCGTGCCGATGGCGGCCCTCGTCTCCACTACGAGGTTCCGTTCGGTTCCAGCCAGCTGCGAGGTTGGGGGACGCGACTTCCGATGAAAATGGTGCCGACTTCGGTCATGGTGGACGATGGCGGCGTCTATGACGTCGTTCCCTTCTCGAGGCACCGTTGTTGCAGGTCGTGGCCCCACACTCGTGATGCACTGGGGGAAACCCTAGATCTGGATCTACCGGATCGGACGATGATGGTACCTTTGATGCTGTTGTCCCTCCTGAGGGCATCATTTTGGAGCAAGTGCTGGTTGGACAGGACAAGCGGAAGAGCGGTGTCTCATCCACTGCAAGGCCGACGGTGGATCCTGGTGGCATGGTGCTATGGAGGTTCGGCGACGGGCGCGTGTGGACGAATACGTGCAAGATGGTGGAGTTGTTTGGCGTCGTGGTGGCGTCGACGGCAGGCCAGGCAAGGTCGATGGGCCAGTTTCTGCTCTGGAGATGGACTGGTGGAAGATGACGGCGGAAGCCTATGAGAGTGCGTCGGTCTGGTATGGGACCCATCCCGGTGTGTGGCTGGGCTGGGGCATCCGGCTTTAGATGTTAGGGTTTGGTGCGATGTCCGTTTGGTATTAGGCCCGGATATTTGGCACACCTTCATCAATGGGATAGGAGTAGCAACAGGTGTTGCCTAGATGGTGGCTTCAGGCTGACTGATGCATTACTTTGTATGGTCTCTGTGAATAATTAATAAAATGGCCGCATGCATCGTCCAGATGCAGAGGCCGGGGGTCTATCCTCCTTTTCAAAAAAAATCACATATATTTTTCTAAAATCCCATGGAAATGTGTTGGTCCACTGGTCTATCAGGATGGTGTATTCTCATATTTCAGGGAATATGAAATTCATACAAAAAGAAAACATGGGACATAGATGGGGACTGTCTTTAAGGCAAAGCAAGTAACTAATCAAGAAAGAAGCTTGCACATTCCATTTTCCTGGAGTAAACATTATGATGGCACATGACAGCAAGGCAACAAATTGGGAAAGTGGAAAATTAAATCATATACTCTTAAAACATATTGCAGAAACAGAAGTGTGAAGCACACTTGAAATTTGAACACAAGTGAACATTCATTTCTGTTGAGCCTACTATTTATCTACGCGGGGGCATGGATAAGAAAAGATAGAAATTTAGAAAATGTATGCAAATTCACATATATTTTATCAAAATCCCATGGTAATGTGTTGGTCCACTGGCCTATCAGGTGTTCAGGACGGTGTATTCTCATATTCCAGGGAATATGAAATTCATACAAAAAGAAAACATGGGACGTAGATGGGGACTATCTTTAAGGCAAAACAAGTAACTAATCAAGAAAGAAGCTTGCACATTCCATTTTCTTGGAGTAAACATTGCAAAGTACCTAACTATTAAAGTTCCCAGCTAGTATTAGTATTTGACAATGGGACAACAAATTAGCAGACTGCACAAACACCAACTTACATGTATGAGGCCCTATTAAGTAAACATGATTGAAGGTTATTTACCTGCGCTCAACCAAGTTAGAGACAGTTTTAGTCCCAGTCACCTTACATAAATTTGTATGGAATTCTCTGTAGATATCTGAGAAGTGTTTATTTGCTGAAATAGGTTAAGCGGTTTAAAAGCTATGAACAGAATAACAAGCGACTCAGTAACTAAATTAAAGTTTCAGCTAAACTTAGAACTGGTTATTTAGGTTTTTGCTTGAGGAAAATATTAATTTTATTCATGAAATAGAGATTTAACCTTTTTTGTATGTAAGCTGATATAACTTTTATGTACTGCAGGCAGTTTGTTTAAATCCACAAAACAGTCCCTTCAGTAGGTTAATGATGAAAGTTTTTCTTTTGTGGGTATTTCAATGATGAAAATTAAAGACTAATTATGGTGCAAAATATCAACGTTCCTTCACTCTTTTGAACTGCAGGGCGTAATTTGCCCATCCAAGTTCAAATTTGAATATGTGGGTTATGTTAAAACACAATAAGGTTTTGTTTGTGTCCAAACGTACTTTTTTATGATTGTACTTCTGAATCCCTGTCTGAAAACCTTGCTCCCCTTGCTACTTTGTCAGGTCCGAGTGGGTTGAGGCGCTAGCAATCGATCAAATCAAGAGACCAAAGGAGGGAATCAGGCCTGAATCTGGATGTATTACTATAAAAGAGGAACTATAGTGTATGTGTGTTCATAGCCAGATAGGCAAACTTGGAGAATAAGCATGAATGAATAGCCAGCCACAACCCGGCTGTTAAGTAGGTGTGCTGTCCCCGGCAACGGAGTGAAAGGGAACAGTTACACGCGGTAACGTTACAGTAGGGATCGGACGACTCGTGCGTTTTGTCTGAATCTTCAACAGTTAACTGAAGAAAGCTACACTGCTTCAGTAGGCGTGACACACTTACACATAGGCCTTTCAGATTATAAGTCGGCATTGCCATTGCGGTTATTTAAGATCTTCGCGTATAGCTTTTGGATCAAAGTCAAGCATTTCGTATCGCCTTTACGTATACCAGTAAAAAATACAACTAAATCATGGGATTCATGCATAGTCAATGAAACTACAAAAGGAAGTCCGGAACTGTCAGAAAAGTTCAGACTTAAATGATCGACAAGTACAGAGTTTGCACTAAAAAGACAACTACTACATTGGCAATGTAAACTATTATCAGTTGTACTGTAAAAAAGGTTAGAGAGAAAAGTTAATAAAGATGAGTCACATAAACCTGTTCAGATCACTCCCTCTCCAACATTGGCAATGCTCACTAGATCTTTATAAACCTGGGTACTTGTTTGAGATAAAAATAACAAAAGGGAATTCAGAAAGGAGTTCAAAACATATAACATTGGAGGGTTAGGTTCAATTTAGTCTCATGTTCTTCCTGTACATGTGTGAATTAAGGAGTAGCAGGCACAGGAACAACAAAATTCAGAGATGCCAGAAAATCAAGGCACAAATTACGCAGAACTATGGAGCTAAAATACAACTATTTTAGATCAGTAAGTCATGAGCATAAATACTGCAGAATTTGGAGACCACTTAGATACTGTAAATTCAGTTAGCAACAAGACAGATAGATTGCACTTATATTTCAAGGAAAAGTATGACTACTCCACACTGACACTGTAATAACTGTTTACTCCACACTGTAAATAGACAGAACATTTTTTTTGCCACAACTTGAATCTGCTCTGCAATTTATGAACTTGTAGTTGTTCTGCAGATTATCAAGAGCAGTGAAACAGTTTTGATTTACAAACATAGTTAGTTACTCCTACTACTTATGTGTGGTTGCCCAGATCATAACTGTATCATGCTTGCTTATCTGAGACTAATAATACAAAAAGATAAGAGCAGTTTTAACATGGTCCATCACAGGAAACAGAGCAGAAGAAGTACTAGGGCAGGAGAAAATGCAAGGTTCAGAAAATCCATCACAAGAGCAATATGAACAACAACAGTTTTAGTGGTTTGCATGAACAAGTGGAGCAAATAGCTCAGAGGTACATCCGTGGCGATCGTACATGGACGAACTAATACATCAGCCAGTGAGTATCCTCGTATACACTTTGAAAAGAACTTCAACATCGGATCTAATAGACACTTGCAGGCGAGAAGAAGTTGCTCTGTCCCTCCAGCGTGAAGATTGGCCGCGGCTTCTCGAGCGCCTCTTCGGCCTTCCACGCTGCTTCAAATGGATCGAAGGAGCACGGCCGCGGTTTGAACAAGTGGTCCTGCGATGGAGCGTCAAGATCCGACGCGGCATTGTACCTCTTCTCCTTGTCAGCATCATGGAAGGCAGGGTTGTGCATGGCCGGATCCTCTGAACTCGTCATTGGGCAAGGGTAATCGAACTGCAGCATACCCTCCAGCACGCCTTGGTCCAAGGCATCCAGGCACAGAGGTTCCTGTTGGCCCATCTCCACGCCAGTGTTGGCTCCAGTGACCGGCTCAACTTCAATTGGGTCGTCTTCCATCATTCTCATTAGTTCTTCAAGATCAAAACCATCTTCGTCCCCATCCGGCAATTTGGAAATAGGCTCCAATGGCTCAAAGACATCCTCTTCAGATGAGCTCCTTGCAATGCTTGAGCCAGCCTCAGGAACAATCTGTTGTTGGCTGTAATGCTTGACAGACTCCAGCACAACTGATTGGGTGGACTCAAGCACATCTGACTGGGAGGAAATCTCAGGAGCTTGAGCAACGTCGGAGCGGCTGGATGTTGTAGTGGACTCGCATGATGCTTGTGCACACTGAACAGGGAAGTTGGCTGCCTCATCATACATCAAGAAGGACGGCGTGGCATATGCCGGGACCGGGACGGGGACGGCACCGCGCATCCTCTTCTTGGGGCGCGGCGGATGAGGATCGGCGGCGGCAGCGGGCGGTGGCCTCTTCTGCGCGTGCGTGCTCGGGGTCACGGCCTCTGTTTGTGCTTCTCGATGCTTGTACGCGGCCGATTCCTGGCGGGCCGCGTCAGGAGCATGCTGAGCCAAGTGCATTTTGCAGAACACCTTCACCCCGTCGGAGACGGTGGCCTCTGGCAGCAGGCACCGGTACTCCTCCATGACCCAGCCGGTGGACTTGCCCTTCTTCTTGAAGGACAGGTTCTTGACCTCGCCGACCTTGCATCCCGCGTGGATGATCTCCGTGGTCTTCTGGATGCTCCAGGTGCCGCCGCCGGCGCCGCGCACGCTCTGGAGCTTGCTCCCGTTCTTGCTCTTGCAGGTGGTGAAGAAGAACCGGTCGCCGCTGCTCACGGCCTGCGGCACGGGCGCGAACTGGCGGGCCAGATCCTTGGACTCGCAGCCGGAGATTTCAACGCGGTTGATGAGCTTGTCGACGGCATGCAGCGTCTCGCCGGAGAGGAGGCGTGGCAGGTAGTATGTGACGGCCTCCACTTCCGTAGGGCTCAGCCGGTAGTGGTGGAAGACGTCGTCGACGTCGAGCCCCTCCATCCCGGCCGGCTGCTGCCCGATCTGCCGCTAGGGTTCAAGCTACGAAAGGGCGGGCGGGCGACTGGGATTTGGGAGAGGTTTGTCTGCGAGATCGGGAAGGCGTTGTGGGACGCGCAGGTGGTCTGTGCTGATATTTAAAGACGCTGGGTGGACTTGGCGATGGAGGACGCGTCAGATTTCCTTATCTGAATCCGAAAATGTCCCCAGTTCAGTTTGCAGCTCCCGTTTGCTTTCATTTTCTGAAAAATTCTGTCAATCCGATGATGGTGCGGTCCTGAAGATGTAGAGGACAGATGCCGTGCTGATTGTGTTTCTTGATTTTGAGTAGTACAAGTCCTATTCTTTTCCGGATCCATTTATTTGACCCATACCCCGGACCTTATTCGGATCCACTTCTTTCGGAAAATCCTATTGGACGCACACTGCGTCAAACTGCCGAGAGCTCCTAAGCGGCGCCTTCAGCGCCGGTTAGAGTTTCTGGCGCTCACACGGCACCTGGTATGGACCAGCCCATCACGAGGCAACCAACGAATCGCTCGCCAGCTCGCGCCTGCTTATGCTTCGTACGCTTCGTTCTTTCCCAATAGAAAAATGTACGCTTCGGTTTTTCGCTCAAAAAAAAATTTATGCTTCGTTCTTTCGCTAGAAAACGTACGCCTCGTTCTCCACTCAAGAAAACAAATAAATGAAAAAAGTTCATCTGTTTCCAAAAAAAGTTCTTCAATTTTTAAAAATAGTTCATCAAGTTTGAAAAAAAGTTCATCGGTTTTGAAAAAGAGTTCCTCGATTTTCAAAAAAGTTCATTGATCTGAAAAAGTTAATCAGTTTTGAAAAAAGTTCCTCAAATTTGAAAAAAGTTCATAGATTTGGAAAAAAGTTTAATGAATTTGAAAAAGTTCATAGATTAAAAAAATGTTTAATGAATTTGAAAAAGCTCATCCAATTTGATAAAAGTTCATCAATTCAAAAAAAGGAGTTTATGGAATTTGAAAAGGAATGATTGACTTTTAAAAAGTTCATCGATTTTGATCACAGATTTGAAAGAAAGTTCATCAATTTCAAAAAAGCATCAAATTTGAAAAAAAAAGTTCATCAAATTTTAAAAAGGTTAAACATATTAAAAAAGAAAAAACAAACAAAGCTGGTCCAGAAAACCGGGTTTTCTGCGAACTGAAACTTTCCCGCGGTGGATAAAAATGTATTGGGAAACCAGGGCTTTCGGCGAGATTAAACGAATAAAAGTATACAAATAGGTCAATAGGCACAAAAAATGGGGAGCTCGTCTTTTTTAGACAAATTGGGGAGCGCCGGTTCCTCCTCTGGCGCCCGAAGGTGGTGCGACTAGGCCGGCCCAGCAAAATTCCATCAGTACAGGGATAGCGTGAAAAAAGCGAACAAAACACCAGGGAAATAGGTTCTCAGCGAGGGTAGAACTCGTGCCGTGAGACTAGCGAACGAGTATGCCCAACCAACTGATCTAGTTTGCCGCTTTTGAACAATTTCAGGGCCAACATTTTCAGTACATTCCTAGCCGCGTAATTTATTACACGTGTAACATTTACTGTAGCGCTTTGATTTTTATTTTTTAAACATTTTGGAAAATGTTCTTGAATTAAACAAAAATCATTTGTTTTGAAAACATTTAATGATTTTGGAAAAAAGTTCACGATTTGAGAAAAATGACTATCGATTTTTAAAAAAGTTCATCCGTTTGAAAAACAGTTCACAAATCTTGAGAAAAAAGTTCTCTGGTTGGAAAAAAGTTCATCAAAATTCAAAAAAGGTTCATCGATTTGAAAAAAAATAGTTCATGAGTTTGAAAAAACTTCATCGATTTTGAAAAAAGTTTTCAAAAAAATGAAAAAAAGTTCATCAAAATTGAAAAAAAGTTCATCAAAGTTAGAAAAATTCATCAAATTCGAAAAATAGTTCACCGAATTTGAATAAAAGTTCATCAAAATTCAAAAAACGTTCATGGATTTTGAAAATAAGTTCAGCGATTTGAAAAATAAGTTCACCGAATTTAAGAAATTTCATGGAATTGTAAAAAAGTTCATCGAATATGAAAAAAAGTACACCGATTTGGAAAAAGTTCATCGATTTCGAAAAAAAGTTCATCGAATTGAAAAAAAGTTCATCTATTTTGAAAAAAAATCATCGATTTGAAAGAAACTTCACGAAGTTAAAAAAACGTGCACAATTTTGGGGAAAAAAGTTCACGCACTTAGCAGAAAGGAAGAATGAAAAAAGAAAGGAAAAAAACGAGCAAAACCCTTTCCATGAAAAAAGAAAACATAAACAATATAGAAGAAAAGGATGAAAAAGCTGTAAGAAAATGTGAACTGTTGAGATGGTGGAGTGGTTATGGCAGCGCGCATTTACTGGCGAGATCACCAGTTCGAATCTCAGCCACGCGTTGCGGTTTTTTGCGTTGTTATAAACAGGGTCATTCGTGAGGGTGGCGAGTTTATATTCCTGGTGTGCGCACATCTTTTTTTGCTGCTCGACACAGAAAGAATAAAATAACAATGGGCCGGCCCAGCACCGAAGGGGATGTGCGCCGCTTTGAAATTTAGGCTGTAAGTGGCGCTGAGGGCGCCGTATAGGAAATGCCCAAACTGCCGGCGCTTCGCACAGGCGAGCGACCAAGCTGCGACGTGATAGGCCGGCCCAGAGCACCTACAACGCCAGTCGAAGGTTCCCTGAACCGTTTTTTTTCTTTTACCGGTTTTCTATTTCTTTTTATTCTGTTTCCTTTTCTACTTTCTTCTTTCTTTTCTTTTTTTCGTTTTCATTTTATAGTTCTTTTTTTTCAAGGTTACTTTATCTTTTTTAAACTAAATGCATATTGAGATTTTGTTCTCAATTTTCGAAAAGTGTTCCTGCTTTTTAAAAACGTTCAAAATTTCAAATAATTGTGGTTTTTGAAAAAATTTCACAAATTGAAAAAATGTTCGGGATTTTTCATAATGTTCTTGTTTTTTTAAAATATTGCGAAAGCTATTGTTTAAAAATTTCACAACTTTAAAAAAAATGTTCAGTCGTTAAAACTATATTCCTGTTTTCAAAAATTGTTCACAAATTGCAAAACATGTTCATGTTTTCATTTTCTCCGGAGTTTCAAAGAATGTCCCAGTTTCATAAATTATTCACAAGTTTCAAAAAATGTTCGTGTTTGCAAATTTTGTTCAGGAGTTTCGAAATATGTTTGCTTCTCCAAATTTTGTTTTGGAATTTGGAAATATGTTCCCATTTCAAGAAATATTCATGATTTCCAAACAATGATCCTGTTTTTGAAAACGTTATAGCTTTTTGAAAATTTGTTCAAAATGTTCTTGTTTTCCTTTTTTCAAAAATGCAAAAATGTTCATGTTTTAAAAAATTGTTTGTAGATAAGAAAATTGTTCGGGGAATTTGATAAAATTTCTCGTTTTGAAAAAATGTACGTAATTTCGAAAAATGTTCGCGTTTTCAAAATATGTTCTCTGTTTCTTTTTCGTTTTTATTTTTCTTTCCTTTTTTGTTGTTATTTTTCGTGTTTCTTTTGTTTGAGATTTTCAAATATTTGTTCTCAATTTTAAAAAATGTTCTCATGTTCAAAATTTGAAAAAATGTTCGTGTTTCAATTCTGGAATTTTGAAATGTTCTTGTTTACAATTTCAGAAAATTGCTAGTAATATGTAAAAATGTTATAGTTTTGAAAATATGTTCACAATTTCTAATAAATACCTTATGTTCGTCTTTTTGAAAAATTGTTCAAAATTTTCAGAAAAAAAAGTTTGCGTTTTCAACTTTTGGTCGAGAGTTTAAAAAAGGTTCTGTTTGCTTAATTTTCATTTGGAATTTGGAAAAATGTTCCCAATTTCAGAAAAAGCGTTCATGATTCCGAAAAATTTGATTTAGAAAAATGTGTCAGTTTTGTAAAACAATTAGCAAATTTGAACAGTGTATGCGTTTCAGAAGACACTCAGTTTTTTTTTACAAAAATTGCTTTCAAAATTCTGAAAATAATTCTGATCTGCGATGCCTATTGTTTCTTTAATGCTTGACGCTGCTGCCTAAGCGGATAAACTCGCTAGGTCAGCTTGTCGCGGCTCGAGCTCTGTACGAAGAGATCGCTAGTTCGATTTCTAGCGATGTCGTATTTATTCTTTGGAGGCGATGTCGTATTTATTCTTTGGAGCGCCTGTGCGAAACTGCGTCGCTTTGCCGCAAAGAGCGGCGAGTAGGAGCTCCCCTTCTTTCCTCACTCCATCCATGGCAACACCGGCCTCAGAGAGAAATTGTTGGCCCCTGTCCAACTGCGTGCGCAATTAACGTCGGCCATGGCAGCACCGGCCTGCGTGGTGCATATTCACCAAATGCAGGATTCACGTCATGTCTTCAAGTCAGAATGGAGTCAAGTGGCCTGGAGCTGGTACTACTTGGTAGTCACCCAGCCATGCTATGTAAGTACTCACTACTCACCAAAGCAGCTGAGACTGGAGGTCTATACATGCATAAACAAGGCCAGCAATCTGTGATCATCATTCATCAGGGTACACTACCAAAACCCCAGCGATTCCATTGCACAATCTAAAGGAGACACGAGACTACTAGTAATTCCTACCACGCCTTCTTCCATTTTTCTCCCGTCGCCTTCCTTGAGAGCCCAGCCCTTGATGTACAGGGGATATAAGAAGGAGCGGTAAATCTACTGAAGAAGCAAAAGAGCAAGAGAAACGAAAAAGGATGATGCCATGGAAGGATCGATCGTCAGTCAGTCAGTCAGTAGTTGTTGCTGTTGTAGCCGATGTAGTTGTTGCGGTAGCGCATCCCATACTGCTCGTAGAAGGTGTCGCCGTAGTTCACCGCCTTGATCTCCACCATGCGCCGCTTGCTGTCCACCTCCTGGACCGCGCCGAACACCACCTCGTTCGTCGTCTCGCAGCTCTGCTCGTAGAAGGTCTGCGGCCCGGAGGAGTACTGCCTGTGCTGCTGCAGCTGGTACATCTGCTGCTCCGGCTGCCGCCTCTGCTGGTGCTGCTGCTGCAGCTGGTACGCCTGCTGCTCCGGCGGCTGCCTGTGCTGCTGCCGGTACACCTGCTGCTCCAACTGCTGTCTGTGCTGCTGCAGCTGCTGCTGCTGGTGGTGGGGATACACTTGCTGCTGCTCCGGCGGCGGTTGAGGGCCGCGTGCATCCCAACCGCCAAGATAGGGCTGCCCATGCCGGACGTGGTGAGCCTTCTCAGGCTCCGTCGTCACAAAGGCGTAGTTCTTCTGAGGGGTTGGCCCTCTCGAGTCCAGCGGCGGAGGCGTTTCCTCGTGCGGGATGGCGTAGCTTTCTTGCACTGGCCAAGGGTTGGCCCTTCTCTGCTGGTGCTGCTGATGGTGCTGTCTTGCGGGGCGCTTCTTTCGGGAGAACATGTCTGCCACGGATGATTTTGCTCCTCCCATGAGCTTGCCCATCGAGGTGAAGAATCCCTCTTCAGCTTCATGTTTCCCAGCTTCGTCTTCATTTGGGATCAGCGGCGGGCGAAACGAAGGCTTGAATGGCTGCTGGTATGGTTGGTATGGTTGATATGGAGGGATGCTTGCATTGCTGGGTCTTGGAGGCGTCTGAGGTTCCTGCATGGTTGAAATTTCAGTTGCCAACAAGGTCACTGTAAATTTGCTGCATAAATAAAGTAGTTCTGAAGAATATGCATGGACTCCGTCTTTTACTTTAGTAATGATCTAGCTAGGCTCGCTCTTGAAGGATAATAAAGTGAACTCATAGCACCACTGATGAATGGGTGAACAGGCTGTGGGCAAAAGGACGACGGACACCACATCTACGTGACCAAAGGCTGACTGTAACATATTCATGAGCTGGCCTGCTGATGTAGAAGCATGGTCCAGTATAGACCCTGCCCTAGTTACCAATCCATGCTGCCAGCAAGTGTGCATGATGTTCTCTTCAGAGTAACAGAAACAGTTTGGCAAAATTACCTCTGTTGCTGAGACCATTCCTAAAACACGGCGCTGGAGCAACGCAAGCATGTAACCAAAGAAACCAGCAGCAAAAAGCAAGGCAACACCTGTAATAAGCATTTAAACTGAAGTAATTAGTGATTGTGGTTTTAGTGGAACTTCCTTGTGAGCAGCGAATTCATGATAATATGGCTTCAGACAAGAATAGTATTCATTGGTGAGATAGTACTATTGGAAAGTTTAATGGAATGTACCTAGAGGGAAACCAGCTTCATCCTGATATTCACAGTCATCAGGCTGGAGTGGGATCTCCCGAATTGCTTGGTTTCCTCTGTCAATGACCAAGAGGGAGCAGCTACTGCTGATATAGCGGATTTCAAAATCGGTTGAAAATTTTGCATCGTCGCTTGGTCCATCCATGTGTCCACCTCTCATTGATTTCCCCCCAGCAATGGTTGTGACCCCTACACATTATTGCTCATCCTGTCATGAATCTCCTCATTACCAGTTACAAATTCATAAGGAGACAAGGACATTTATTCTAGATGTTTCTTCAAGATCCACACACAATTTTTTTTTATCTGCAGCCAAACTGAATAAAGCCCAAAGATCTGTACATGAAAACAATTTGAAAAGTACAAATTGTGAAGTTAAAATGGCTGGGCAAACTCGAAGCAATCATATCACCACCATATGGTATTTACCATAAAATATATAGATGCTTTGCCCATGAAACTCCTTGGTTTAATTGAACACATACAATCTGAATGAGCAATTATGATGTCATGGCTACTGATTTCTCCCAGAGCTTTTCGGTATCATGGAATTTTAAGAATGGGATAATCTATAATCTACATTGTAACTATGTAATTCAATTACCCATAATTAGACTCTAGATACATGACTTGTTATAACATTTAAACCTGTGTGTTTGATCTCCGCATCCACTATTACAGCTTACCATATCCCAAATGCAACTTTTGGACACAAGTGCTAAGAAAAAGCACTGCAGAAGCTCAATCGAAAACAAAGAGCAAATATAATGTGAACAGACCCTACAGTAAGACATTTTAGTTTACCTGTATCACTGATCTTTCTTATTGCCATGTTCATAGCGTCTGCAACATAAATGTTGCCCCTGTCGTCGACTGTAAATCCCTTAGGGTGGTTCAGCTTGGCCTCCCGGAGCCTACCATCAACATGACCAGATAATCCTTCAAGCGAACCAGCGACAAGCTTTGGCCTGCTATCTGCACGGTTTGAACCATTTTAAGAGATGCAAGGGGAAATATTATATAAGCTGAACAGTAGCTACTATAGAGAAAAGACACGACTTCATCACTTTAGAACAGAATATACATAGGACGTTTGTGCATACCAAAGTTGGAACGACAGATCTTCACATCAGACATGGAAGATTTTGTTAATAACTGTGGCCAACAATTCATACTATATTTCGCTACAAAACTTTCAGGCAAATACTTGCCGTGTGTCTTCAACTTCTAAACAAGGGAAGTGAAAGTGACCAGGCTCGTAACACATCACTATCTCATCAGGAACTCATAGTTGCAAACTAGTATAAACTACTACCTCCGTCCCGGTGTATAAGTCATTCGCGTAGTTCTAGGTCGATAATTTAACTATCTAAATATGTATTATATGTGACAAAAAATATATATTTAAAAACTACATCCGTGTGGAAATCTAGTGGTATACTTTTCATGACATATAACACATATTTAATTTCTTAAATCGATGACCTAGAACTACGCGAATGACTTATACACCCGGACGGAGGGAGTACCAAACACATCGCAATCAAGAAACATGCCTGACCAATGCCCTCAAAATTTAGCATGCAACAATCACACATCACCCCTGACCAACCACCCAAACACGCCCACATCATTTAGTTAACATAACAGGCATATTTAGCAGAAACCAATGATGACTGAGCACTACCAAGATAGCAGCAAAACCTGAAAAGGACATGAAGAAGCAGTTGGAAGTATGGGGGCATGCTCACATCGGGACAAGGGCAGCTGGACCCTGTAGAGGTTGCTGTTCATGGAGTCGAGCAGGAGCAGGTCGCCGGCGGGGGTGAGCTCGACGGAGTGCGGCTCGATCCCCAGATTGCTGCCGTCGAACACCGTCTCCACCGCGTACCCGCCCTCGTACTTCACCATGGACCTCCCGGAGGCCGCCGCCGTCGCTGCCGACGCAAAGATTCCGTTCAGGAAATTGAAACGCGGAAACCCCGGGAAAGAAACGCACCGATTACCCGTCCTGGCGGTCGATTTGAGAGACCAGAGCTTCTTCGCCACCGCCGTCGCCGTGCTGGTCAAGAGCCCGCCCAGGACCTCTGCCGCCGACGGGCACCAATCAATCAGCCGCAATAAACCAAAGTCAAAACTTTAAGAAACCAAGAACCGAGCTCGCTCACTTGCGGGGTACGAGGACGCGGCCGAGGCGGAGACGGGGGCGCCGAGCAGGAGGGCGGCGACGAGGAGCGCCGCCACGGCCCTCGCGCTCGCCGCCGACGGCGCCCTGGCCTCCATCGCGTGCTGCTCACGTGCTCCTCTCGTGGAGCAAAGAACCAAGAAGCGGCAGAGGTAGCAGGGGAGGCAGTGAGATGGGGGGACTAGCGGGGATGTGATGAGCAGGGGGAGGGGGAGGGGGAGGAGGCGGCCATTTGAGGACAGGTAAAGAAGGTTGAGAAAACACCAAAGGATCCAGACCTCTTTTGGGGGGACCTGCAGTTCTCGCTCTCCGCCAAAAAAAGGCAAGAAAAGAAGAGGGGCAGAGATCAGAGGGGCTAAAGCGAGGACAGAGAGTGGAAGTGGAAGAGACAAGAGGGTGGTGGTGGTGGTGGTGGAGCTCGCTGCTATGGCTGCCGCCTCTGTTATTGCTGGTACACTGCTGCTCGCCCGTCTTGTTGCCTTTCTTTTGGGTTTCCTATGTTTCGGGCCCTGGAGCATTTCCATCCAAGCTCAAACAGCCCCCTGGGCTAGCCCGGGCTGTAGACCCAAAGCCCGAGCCCAACCCGGCCCACTCCAAAATAAAGAAATAGTAGTGCACCTTTTATATTTAGAAGAAAATAATTATTATATTCAATTTATATATATATACATCTTTCCCTAATAATAAAGCACGGATTGACTCCGTGGGTTCACCGTCACAATACGCTTCTTCCCGTGAATTTGCGCTTTCGTTTTTTTAATGGATATCCGAGGTGGTACTAATTTATTTGTATATCCTGCACGTAAGTCAAAAACCGTCGTAATACGTTTTCACTATTCGTTTTGATTTCGTTCGTCCATCACGAAGGCACGGCTGTAGCCCAACTAAGCCACCAACAAAAACGGTCCACGGAAGAATTAAATGCCGGTTATATCAACTCCTACTAAATATAGTCCCACCTTGGCCGCTTGCATTCAATTAGCACAGTTTATATAGAGTACTTTTTTCAGTCTCCTGGGATATGCGAGTAGGGATTCCAAACACTGTGGCAAAGAGATCATGAATCAAAGCTTGCGCTCGGTTGCCAAAAGAACTTGACGACGCTTGTGGTTTCACCACGACGGTGAGGGCAACCGTGGAGGTGACCGAGGAGGGCTGGTGCCGGAGCTTGTTGGCGGGCTACCTGCAAGCAGCGCCCTCGGGGACGACGCGACAGAGCCACAGAGGTCTTGGCTAGGTGGATCCGGTGCAGAGGGGGTCAGAGGCGAGGTGGAGGAAGGCGGGGCACTGAGCTCCATGGTCGCCAATGGCGGCGCCTTTCTCCGGTTCCTGTCGACGGAGAGAAGAGGGAGATTGGACAGAGACGCGGCGCTGACCTTGCCGCCGCTCCTCTCCGCGGCCCTGAATTGACCGTCGGTGCACATCCGAAGCCGGGCCCGCTGCCCGAACATCGCGGCGAGACCCGTGGCGCCTGCGCCACCGGCGTCCCAGAGCCTCTCGAAGAAGCCAACACGGCCCGTGCACTCCAAACGAGCAGCAGCAGCGCCGTTCAAGCGGTCTGCTCGACCTCCGACCGACGGCATGAACACGGGGTCGCGGGCGAGGAATCAAGCTCATCACAGGGTAGGCCCAGCACCCAACTCCTCCAGCCCCGCCACACGCTCGACGTCGCCGAGCAGCCACATGGACGAGCCGTGCGGCCAGCAGCACCCTTCCCGGCCTCCCCTACCGCATCCTCTATCTGTCTCAACTTTGACGAACAAGGAGCAGTATAGAGCGCGGGTTGCCTGGAAGAGATAAGGTTTTTTTTGTTTTTTTTTTGAGAAGGAATAACTTGCATTCCACTTAAACCTGGTTCACCATCTCGGTGCCAACCAGAGCCGAAACAAAGTCTGGGGCTTCTACATCCCACACAGATAGGGAAACAACAGCCCCTAGGCCAAACTGCGCCAGATTGTGCGCAATTAAATTACAGCCCCTACGACAAAACCTGAAATCATAAGACTCAAAGGAAAGCCGGCATAAACTTCTAGCTTCTCTGAAGAGGACGCCCAGCTCTGCAGCATCATACTCCCGCCCATTTAGAGCATTAATCATTGTTAGGCAATCAGACTCAAAAACGACACGCTGAGCCCCCAAAACAGCAGCCCCATCAATTGCCATCATGCACGCACTGAGCTCAGCTTGGAGGGGGCTCCTGATGTGCTCCAACTTGCCAGCCGCCGCTGCGATAAAATTGCCCATCTCGTCCCTAGCAATGAAACCCCATGCTCCAGCCTCAGCCTCTTGATGGAACGCTGCGTCCATGTTAAATTTAACCACTCCAGGTTCAGGTGGCACCCATCGTTGGTCTGTCACTGACGGAGGGATGCTCTGCTGCTGCACGCTACAAAAATCTTGCAAGTGCCTAGTAATAAACCCACTAACCTCCTGTGCAGTCCCCTGCTTTTCGCCGGCGTTGGTTTTATTCCTTGCTGTCCACCAATCCCAGAGGAGAATAGCCACACGCAACCTCTTATCTGTTGGCAGCGAACATATTTGCTTGATCACCTGGTAGGAATCATGGCAATCACTTAGCATCAGCCGGACATCCTCAAGGTTCTGCTCCCTCCACACAGCTTTCACCTTCTTACATTTAAGGAAAAGATGCCCCCCATCCTCATCAAGCCTCAGGCACATAGGACACAGAGTATCAAGCTCCACATGCTTCCGCTTAATATTCATTCTCGTTGGCAGGCTGTTATGCGCCAAACGCCACAGGAACATGCGAACTTTCCCCGGCAGATCAAGCTTCCAGATGTGTTGCCATTGCTCCCTAGCCTGCACCTGACCGGTAGACCCCTCCGCGTCCTGGTGCTTCTTTGTTTCTTTCAGACTCACCCCCAGTTGGTATGCCGATTTGACCGAGAAAAGCCCTCTTTTGTCATAGTGCCAGGAGAGAAAATCCTCCATCCCCGCTCTGAGAGGGATCGCTAAAATGATCTTGGCGTCCTCCTGTGTGAAAAGCTCCCTCACGAGAGCCTCGTCCCAGTTCTCGGTAACGGGGTTTATGAGCTCATTCACCTTTGAGATGATCGACTGCCCCTGCTGGGCTACCGGTCGCCTCGTCGACCCTCTCGGCAGCCATGGGTCTGACCAAACCTTCACCTGCGTCCCATCTCCGATACGCCACACAATCCCCTCTTTTAGTAGATCACGACCTCTTAAGATGCTCCTTCATGTGTATGACATACCTGGTTGTTCCGTTGCCTCTATAATGGAGCAATTCGGGAAATATTTTGCCTTCAGTACCACGGCACAAAGCGACCCTGGATCAGCCTCCAACTCTGTCGTGCAAGCATCGCCATATTGAAAATATGGAGATCCCGAAAGCCAAGCCCCCCTTCCCTCTTCGTCCTCATGAGCTTGTCCCAGGCAATCCAGTGACATTTGTGCTTCCCATCTTGTTGGTTCCACCAGTAACGGCACACCATCGCGCTTATCTCCTCGCAAAGACTCTTGGTCAAGTCGAAACATGACATCGCATAGGTAGGAATTGCCTGGGCAACTGCTTTAATCAAAGTTTCTTTTCCAACTTTTGACAAAAGCTTCTCCAACCAACCCTGGATCTTGCGCCAAATCATCTCTTTTATGTACTCAAACTCTTTGCTCTTTGTTGCCCCGATGTGCACAGGCAAACCCAAATACCTCTCATTCTGAGATTCAGCTGGGATCCCAAGAACTTGGAGGACCTGCAGCTTATTTTGGTTACTTGTTTTCTTGCTAAAAAACGCCGAGGACTTGTCCCTATTGATTTTCTGTCCTGATTGAGCCTCATACAGAGCAAGGATCTCCTGCAATCGAGTAGCACTCGCCTCATTTGCCCTCATTACAATCAAGGAATCGTCCGCGAAAAAGAGATGGTTTATACTTGGTGCACCCTGACATACCTGAACCCCCTCAATTGTCCTCTCGACCTCAGCTTGCTGCAGTAACCTGGAGAAGGCCTCCGCACAAATGATGAAAAGGTACGGAGATAAAGGATCTCCTTGACGCAGTCCCCTCTGTGGGTGAAAAGAGTCAGTTAACTTTCCATTGACCTTCACACGGTAAGAAACCGATCGAACACAATTCATAATCAGACTCACCCAAGTAGGAGCGAAACCCATAGTGTGCATCATGCGTTCCAGGAAGTTCCACTCCACCCGATCATACGCCTTGCTCATATCAAGCTTGACTGCCACCAAGCCTTGCCTTCCTCCCTTCTTTGTATGCATCAAGTGAGTGATCTCATAGGCCAACAGCACATTGTCCGTGATCATGCGCCCCGGAACAAAAGCTGACTGCGATGGGGAGATCAATTCCGGAAGGATCATTTTCAGACGGTTAGCCAAGACCTTTGAGATGAGCTTATATAGAACATTACATAGGCTGATTGGTCGGTCTGTGTGAGAGACTCCGGATTCTTTACCTTTGGTATCAACACAATGGTTGTTTCATTCCATCCCTCAGGCATCACTCCTCCGTTCAACACCCGCAACACCTCTTCTTGCAGTTTTGGACCCACCATATACCAAAATTTCTTATAAAACACAGCTGGCATCCCGTCCGGTCCAGGAGCTTTCAGGTCACCAATGGCATCAAGAGCAAACTTAACCTCTTCCCCGGTAAACGGTTTAGAAAGTGTGGCGTTCATTTCCGGAGTGACAGAAGCAGGGATGTGCTGAAAAATTTCCTCATTTAGTGGCCCTGCAGATGAAACAAACAAACTTTTGTAGTAGTTAGTAATAAAGGGCCCTAGCTCTTCCTCCCTCTCCACTACACTTCCATCACTCCTTCTCAACTTACTGATCTTGTTTATCCTTCTCCGTTCAGAGGCGTGGGCATGGAAGAAACCCGTGTTACGGTCACCGTATCTGAGCCAGTTGACATGTGCCCTTTGCTGCCAATACAAGTTGTACTGGTCCTCCAGCCGGTTCAGCCTATACCTCAGAAGATGCTCTTGGCAAACTCGCTGTTGCTTAATTGCACCCCTCCTACACCACTCCAGCTCTCTCTTAACCTTCTTTATTCGATGCTTCAGCTCTCCCAGTACCTCCCTGTCCCATTTCAATAAACTCCGTCCCACCATCCTCAGAGCCTCCCCAACCGAACCTCCCCCATCACCAAAGGCCCTATTCCACGCCTCCTCCACGACCTCCTGGCAGCCCTCCTCTTGCAGCCATCGTGCCTCAAACCGAAAACACTGTGGACTCCCGCCCCCATCACTTGACACGCTTTGACCATTTAGTACAGCAATTATAGGGCGATGGTCCGAATGTCTGGAAGAGATAAGGTTGGAAGTGCATGCATGTGAATTATTTTAGCTGGTCAGCTGCCGTCTAAGCTTATCCATGTGAAGAGATAAAGTTGTCTATTTCGAAGAGATAAGGTCAGGATGGTTCCAATGAAGATCAAATATGTGTATTTTATTATTATCCTTTATTGTTTTGAGAATAATACTTTATTATTTTATACTATAGTTAAATAAAAATGTCTCAAATTAATATATCCCTCTATCCATATTATTTGTTTTAGATTTGTCTAGATATGGATGTATCTAAAACCAGACGATTTTAGACACAGATACCAAACGGTTTAAGATACATTCGTCCGTAGCTACACAAATTTAAGACAAATAATATGTATCTCAAATCATTAGATATATCTGTATCTAGACAAAATAAAAACAAATAATATGAATCAGAGTGAGTATCTTTATTTTTAAGAATGCGAATGAGACAGATAAAATGCATAATAAAAGGATGTACTGATTGTCAACTCATGACTATGTAAGGTCCAAAATACAAATGCAATATTTGTATAAGTGTATCTATCACTCATCCGAGCACATTTGGAATAAGTGCATATATGATCTACCACGTGCTATTCACTTATGAATCGTGACACATATTTTTTTGGTTTTTTTATGTGCTTATATTTATATGGGTTCAAGAAAGGGATTTTTTGGTTTTTTATGTGATTATATTTATATGGGTTCATGAAAGGAGAGTAAATTTCCCCATGATACTATTCTAACTTTTAGTTGCATTTATTCAAAATGTGCTTGGTGGTCCATTAAGATGACAATAATTTTTCCCACAACTTCCCTCTGATTGGTGGTCGTGCTAGCAGGAGGAAGATGCGTCGGTTGGCTATGGCGGGAGCAACGGATCGGCGAGGTATTACGCCATCATCCCGTGGAGGACATGTACAAGATGTTTGTAGTGCGTGATATGCCACCATGTCTTCATTGGTGATTCGGTTCTTGCTTGTCATTGAAGCGTCCTCTTCTGGGCACCGCCAAATAGAAGCTCATGTCGCTAAGGAGTGAAGGTCTTGAGACATTTTTATCAGGGTTAGATTATGTGATATTTTTCCGTTGCAACGCACGGGCCTTTTTGCTAATGTGTGTGTGTGTGTGTGTGTATATATATATATATATATATATATATATATATATATATATATATAGGGAAAATCCATCCTACCATCCGGTGGTAGTTACCCCATATGTCTCATATACTACCATATGGTACTATATATACTACTTTATCATTTTAAATATATTCGTATATTATATCTAAGATATTTCAAACCAGTTATATGAAAAAATTGCATATAAGCCCACAGTTTTTGTTATATTTGTGAAATACGTACATATTTGTACGTAAAAAACAGCATACTCAAAACATGGTATATACTACCTAAAAATTAGTATATATACTACCTAATCATTGTTATATACTACATACTACACGTACATACTTTCGATTTTGACGGATACTGCATACAACATACAAAATAAAAGTGGTGGTAACTACCACTGCTTGTAGGAAACATTTGTCATATATATATAAAGACATCATTATAACTGTATTTCAGTAGAAACTCTATTTTTAGTTGATTCGGGTGCCAGATTTCGGGTTTGATTCGTGAGATTGGGCTCATATGCCTAGGTTTAACTTGTCACAACCCTCAAACATTTTTATGGTCTATTTAAAGTATCAACTCCATCTAAAACCCTATTGAAGCCCTTGCCGGGCCATTTTTTTCCAGCCCCTAATTATCCAGAATCAAATTTTGGGGGATTGTCCACAAAATTAGCAATCCACTTCTTTTTTGGGATTGTAGTATGAGTTGTGTGC